AGGAGGAGGCGGAGGAGGAGGAGGAGGCGGAGGAGGCGGAGGAGGAGGAGGGGGAGGAGGAGGAAGAGGAGGAAGAGGAGGGGTCGCCTAAGCCCTTCGGAGAAACCTTCCAGGGCTGCAGGCAGGACGCCGACAGAGGGGCCGGCCTGAGCTCAGGAAGCCGCTCTGGCTCCCGGGCTGTTCCTCTCAGATCCCAGTTGGGGGAGCCGGCTCGTGGCCGAGGCTCGCCGTGGCCAGCATGGAGCCCAACTGCGGTCGCGGTAACACTGGTGCGCTCGTCCAACTTCGTGGGCCTCGGCGCGAATTGCTTCGTCAGATACTCTATGGGGGCCAAAACACTAGCTTCCAAAGTGAACGGTATGGATTTACCTTCTATGTTGAGCAGCAGTACAAGCACATGGGCAGTATAACCTCAGCAGACTCATCCCTACGTCCTGAAATTACACGCAGGCTACAATCGCATGAACAAGCCATGGGACCTATTCGACACACCTTACTTCCGCGCAACGAATTGACCTGCGAGACCAAGATTCGCTTCGTTGACGCGTTGGATTTTTCAAGACTTCTGCAGCAGTCAGAAGATGGCACGACATGGGGGTTCATAGCGATACACGTCTGAACGCGGTGTACATCAAGGCCTTACGAGCATCCACGAAACTCGTGCACAAAACGCATAGCAGTTTTTATGTGTGTGATGATTACGTACTATGGCGAGCTCAACGTACACCCTTGGATGATATACAACGCATTCGTCGTCTCAAGTACCTTGAGCGAGTTGTCAACCATGGGCCCGCCACTCGCAGATTGTTTTTGGACGCGCTGGGTGTACAGAGTACTTATCTTGGACTGGTATCGACGGACCTTGATTGGCTGCATGGATTTGAGCTTGGTCATGCGCTTCCACAAAAATTACGGCAGTGGATTGACGTCAGACCGTGCACGACCTCGTCAATACTTGAATATATATATATATATATATGTGTGCTAGCATGGAAACGATTCCGAGCATGGCACAGGGATCAATGTCATCTGACTGCATGGTTGAAGCAATTTCATGATTATACCTCGTTGTTGGATGACCGACCTGATGAGGAACATAATGTTTTATGTCATGAGTGTGATGCAGTCTTTGACTCTGCTATTGGATGGAAGTCGCATAAGACCCGAATACATGGTGACCTGCGCGATCCTCGACTGTACGCACGCGCATGCGACACGGACTTCCACACACGCAAGCGTCTTCTATACCATCTTCGGTACCGCAACACAGGTTGTGCGGACATCCTCCGTCTTACAGTAGAGCCGCTTACGAATGCAGAGGCGGTCGAACTTGATGAACAGGATACAAAAGCGGCTTCTGCACGACGGGCGGCTGTAGATCAGGAGTCGGAAGCGCTACGCCCACCAATTCGAGAGCCATTATACGCAAGGACGCCGCGAGGATTGTTGGAAGAACAAGTCATCCCGCCACGGTACGGTTTCTCGCACCCTGTCAGGAGTCGGTGCGACCGCACCAGAATGCGACCGTGTGGGGCCCAGATGACCAATGTACAATGCGAATTCTTGTTGATTCTGAATCGCATGACGACTTATCTTGGAC